GTTGGCGGCGGTTGCGGCCCCCGGCGGCCGTTGCGGCTGCCCGGCCCCGCGGCGGGTCTGCGCTGGCGCCGCAGCGGCGCCTACGCCGCGAGGGAAGCGCCCGCTGCTCCCRGAGCCGGGCTTTTGTTTGGAGAAGGCTACGCGGTCTGGTTAATATTTTTCATTATTTCATTAGAAACTTTTCCTGTTGGAACCTTGACCCTTGCCAGTAAGTGGTAGTATTTTCTGCGCGTGCTCCCGCCCTCCGTTTTTATTATTATTTTTTAATTTCTGCCCGCYGCGGAGCAGTAAAGGAGCCCGAAAGTTCCCTTGGGCCCCGTTATCCGTGTGCGCCCCGTGAGCCCCACTGGGGCGCAGCCGCCTGCGCCGCCGGCCGCGCCGTGCGGGCCCCTTTCCGCACTCCCAAGGGTCCCTTACAGCCGCCCCGTCTCCGTGCGGGTCCCAGGGGGCCCGGGTGAAGGMTCGTCAGCCCCTCCGGTGCCCGGTTTGTGTGGCGGGAGCCTGGGAGCGCCAGGCAGAACCGGCCGCGTTTCCAGCCGGTTGCGTTTCAGGTGAATCACTTGCCTGGATCGGCAGTGCTCGGGCTTGCACGGATCTCCCTTGGCTGGYGGGAAAAGCCACTCTTGTCTCCCTTTACCCCGTTCTTTTTCCTGTCACCAGAAGGAGAAAACARAAAGTTTTCTTAGAGAGCTGTAAGTGCTGGTCCTCTCGAGTCCTTTTAAGTTTTGGCATTTGAAAGGGCTTAGAAATGGGCGTTCTCTAACAGAATAGTGTGTTGGAGCATTAAGTATAGCTGGAGTTAGACAGGTAACTTTGTTGTGGTTGTGATTCATAGCTGGAGTAGTCAAAATGGAGCCCAAACCTGGAAAACAGTTTGGCTTTACCGGTAGATCCGTTTCTTTTCAGTGCAGAAGTCCCGTTGTGCTTCTTGCTGCACAAGGATACAGAGACGTTTTATTTGTTCCTACCTTTTAGAAATTTGCAGATGGAAGGGGCTACAAAGTGTTGCCGCATTTCGGTCCGTGGGCTAATCAGCTGCAGAGTCCTCGGTGAGAACACTCCGCTTGCTTTCCTGGGAAAGCAGAGCCTAAGTGGGAGCGTTACCCATTTCGCTTCCTCTCSARTGGCTCCGTGCGGTTGTGGTTGAACCTGAGAGAAGGTTTTGACGACGCGAGGGTCCCGTGCRCCGCAGGGACATCCGAGGCTCCCTAAGGAGGGCCGAGCCGTTGCGGTGGGAGTGCATGCTCAGGCCTTGCCAGTCTGAGCTTCCACGCGGGATCAGCTTCAAAATCAAGCCCCGCAGGYGCCAGGAAAGGAGCGTTTTGGGGGTGGCCATGCGGCGCCCCCCGACCCCTCTCTTGGTTAAACCGTGGCGGTGGCCGGAGCGGGTGGCGCTTGAGCAGCGCTCCTGTGTGTTATTTAGTGTCGTGTATTCACTGGGCCTGCCTGAGCACAGCTGCTTTAGGGCTCTGCTCGTGTATTTGCATGAGGTGTTTTTTCTTGCAGGGCTTTTCCCTCCTCTCTCCTTGCCAGGGCATTTTGTCCATGATCTCAACGGGACCTAGCAGAGCTGCAGGGTGTATTTTGTGTGGATTCGTTCCTGAAAGACGCATCRCATGAGAGCTTTTCTCTCCCATGTCTGTATTTCTCTGGGTCGTGCTTTTGAATCGGTGTCTGAGCAGGTGCTTGTAAGAAGGAGAGTGTATTTACTGCCGTTATTTAATTTRTGTTCTGGGGCATTTACTGAATGTACATTGTGCTTGCAAGCAGAAGGTACAGAAAGTGAAGGAGGTTGTGTTTGGATGTTCATTATCTGACCAGTGTAATTTGATTTTCTCTCTTCCCCGGGCTTGTATTTTTCAAGTAAATGTTTAACCTGCCAGCGAATCCGGGCCTCTGCTTGAGAGCTTTGTTGGATCAGAGATTTAGGAAGGAGGTTGGTTTTTAGAAACACTTTCTCCACAGAAAATGATAATTTTGGAAGCAATTGTTAATTTTTAACAAACAGTAAATTAATAGAATTCCTGGAATTATTTGGCTCAGCAGTCGCTGTTAGTCCTGCTTTTTTATTGCCATAGAGGAAGACTTCCTTGGATGCCTCCAGCCAAAGGAAGATGTGCGATGGAAGCCCCTTCCGGGTCAAAGCTGGCTGGATCGGGACACCCGCCACGACCCCTGCTTCCGAGCTCACATTCCAGGAATAAGCTGGAGCCGCCACCAGGAGAATAATGCAAGGTGGTTCAGTTTGAGAGTGCACCAGGGCTGCTGCTTTCATTCTTTATTAGGGGATGTTGAAAGCTCCATTTAGCTTCCTGTTTGATTAGATTAGCCCTTTATTTATTTATTTATTTATATATTTTTCATTTTGACAGCAAAACTGCTTGTTCTGTGACCTGTTGGGAATGTTTTTGCCATGGGCACYGGATTAAGAGCAACTTTTTGCTCTTCCCAAGCAGTTTCTGTTTGCTCAGTGCTTCACATTACACACTCTTGRTGCATACTTATAAATGTATTTAAAACACCRCCAAACACTTAAGATTCTTTTAAATACTTCTGGCCTCTTACAAATAAGATTAAAGACCGCTAAAGTTTGTAGACTTTATTTCAAGCAGTTTTGTGTCTTTACTTTCTGATGCACAGTGATTCTCTTCCCAGCAAGAAGTTGGAGTAAAGGTTATGAATTTCACCAGTGTTTTTAACTGATTTATGATACTCCCCCCCATATACTTTTCCAGTCTCCAAGAGATTCCAGCTGGGGACACMTTCCAAGGTGGATGTGGTCATCTTAATCCTCAGCGGATGAAGGTGCAGGAGAGAGAGCCATTTCCCCTCAAGCTCACATRAACCTTAGCAGTTCACAACTTCAAATATCAAATAACACGCTGGCAAAAAGAAGCATCTGTGCTATGTGAGTTTGAACTTTGTTATTCCTCCAGTAAAATCAGGTGTGATAAAAACACTTACTTGAGCCATATATYGCTAACTGAAATAAAGTCTTAGGGTTTTACCTTCTTGCAAGGTGGTCGTTCTCAAGCTGATCTCTGGAGCACCTCCTGGGTGTGAGTGGAGATCTGATTAGTTACAGAGCTTATTTCCACTTGCCCGGATTTTAATTTTTAGTGCATACAGAGCAAWGCTTATTGATAAGCTCTATGCCCCTGTCTGGAAATTTAGCACAGAGCGAAAGGTTTTTTGCTGCTCGTTCGTTCTCTGCAGTGCAAACAGCAGAGTAGTCCTCTTACACACATGAGCTTTTGTTAGTGCCATTCCTCTCCCGGGGTGAATAACTTTGTAATACGGTCCCTTTCGGAGAAAGGCAGCCACTGACCCCTTACAGGGACACATCCTAAATCCTTATTTTGTCGGAGATACCTAAGGAGAGCTTCCTTATGGYAGTGAAAACCCAGCGGACGCCGGGAATGCAGAGCTGCTCATGAGCAGGAGCAGGTTTGCGTGTCGATTGCTCCCGGTTATTGCTCTGCACCATGAGAAGGGAGAGTTTGTAGACTAGGCATGTTGTAGTCGGTCAGAAATATGGTCAAGTCTCGGCTTTTAGTAGGGAACATATACTTTTATATACTACACCATATACTTTTACTTACTCTTACCGTTTGGGAAGGTGTTCGTGGCCTTGTAAGAGCCGTCCTGACACAGACCCACAGGGCCAGGGAAGTCACTCTCACTRTTACAGTGTCCAAAGCACCACAGCAAGTTGCTGATAGCTMAAAGTAACACTTGCTCTATAATAATAATAAWAAAAAARGTTAATTAAGAATAAATGTAGTAGTTTGAGGGGAGCAAAAGGTCCCAACAGCAATGTTAATAAAAGATTCCTCAGTATCTCTTTTTATGTCTTTGTTTACTTAAGGGAAAAACTCCCTCTGAAACCTKGTACGAGAAGGGGGGAAATCCAAACAATTTGTTGGAAACCTGGACTCTTGTCAAAATGTTATCTAGCCTTGCCCATGAGTGGAATTCGCATCGGCAGGGTTTTTAGTTTTCCTTCAGCCTTTTTTTATTTGCTTGTTTTTTTTTACYGTAGTTTTTTTTTTCTGAGCTCATGCTTAGATACCCTCTCTTAARAGAGTGACTTCTGCGTGGTGACAGAATTTAAGTAATACTAGGTTGTTTTGCTTATATCAGGTACTGCAGCCACCAAAAAGGAGAGAGATGATGTTTTATGATAGCACCCAAAGTAACACATTGTGSCCCGGTAACTCGGGGTGCTGCAAGCAGCAGCTTGGGTGTCCCACCTCCTGGTTAGTGTTCAGGTAGAAAACAATTCCGCATTTATGGATCTGTAACGTGAGAATCAAAGCATTTGGCTCTGTGGCCTTCAGGGCTGTAAAAATAGGCTCGACCTAATCTGAACGTGACTTTCATTGCCGTCACAGTGGACGGGGATGAACAGCTGCACCAATCCTGGCCTGTTCTCATACAAATGGCTCGTGGAGAGCGGGAAGAGGCTGGAACTTCACAGCTCCTGAGCTGCCCTTTCGGGGCGCCGAGCGGGGCTCCGTGTGCCCAGGATGGGACTTGTGGGATCCTCCTCATTTCCTACATGGATGACTTTCCCTTTTCCCTGTTCTGTGCCCCGGTAAAAGGGGAGTAGCAAGGTGATGCTTGGTGTTCCTCTGCCTCAGGCTGCTGAGAGGCACCCGGGTTTATTGAAGCCATCGGCTCATGTTACTGCCTTCAAACCGAGGGGAAATCCTTGGTGTTTGTGACCGTCTTGGCTGTGGAGTTTGCCCTTTCCTCGGCGCTCCCCCGTTCACAACTGGGGTGCCCCGTAGCCGCTGGCTGCCGCTGCGGAGCTGCGCGTGCCGGAGGCCGCCCGTCCTGCTGGTGCTCCCGCGCAAGGTGTTCCCTTCATCCCTTGCTTTGGCTTCCCTGACTTTTATTTCTCCATCTTATCTGTTTTTTTGATAGAGGGAGAGAGGCGGGAAGCAGCAATAAAACGCAGCGCTGAGCTCTGAAGTGCGGATTTGGAGATGCTCTCGCTCCTGAGCTTTGCATTGGAGCAGGAACCTGGCAGGCTCCAGCTCTCCCTGCGCATCCCTGAGGGAAAGGGCGCTCCCGGCTAGCGTGCTGCCATCCCGCAGCAATCCCGGCTGGCACGTGGTTGGGCAAGGTGCTCCGCGCTCCCGGAGGTGCCGCCGGTCATCGCCTGGTGCCTTGGCCTTGGCCTTGGCCTTGGCCTTCCGTGCCAAGGGAGCCCAGGGTTTGTGCTGAACAGCAGGGCCTGGCTCTGAGGGCCACGTGTCTCCTAAAAAGCAAAGCCTAAGAGCAGCACTGCTCAGTGTGGTGGTACTGTAGCCCTCCTTGCCTGCTTTTTTATTATTAATTTTTCCCCCCATGAACCAATTTCAGTTATTTTAGTGTAAATTGAGCTTTAATCATCCACTGCTCAGTATCTCTGAAGTTGAGAAGGAATTTTAAGCAATATGTGGAGAGTTGGAGCTGATGGAGGCAGGGAGCCTGCATTGCTGACTTTTAAACACTCAATATGTTTAGTAGAAATAGCTGCTAGATTAACTCACTGTACGTGTGTGTCTTTTCTAGATTAGTTATGAATAATGATGCTTATGGGATAACTTGCAAATAACTTGCAAATCCTTCAGCTTTCTGCAGGGACGTGAGGTGTGAAGAAACGTATCTTTAAAATGAAAAGAAGGGTAATACTTTCAGTAGTGYGTTTGAGAACCGGATTCATATAAAATATCCTTGAGGGTTTATTTTTTATTTGAAGAAGTACTGAGCAAATTTGTTGTGCATTCAGTTGGGATTGTCTTGGAAAATAAAATCAAGTTGCACAGTGCATAATGTGCAATTTGCAAGCAGTTTATTGACCTCTGTCAAACAGAGGCTACCTGTTTGTTGCAGGATTTATTAGAAAAAAAATAAATTGGTCCCTTGCAAATGTTTTTTTTCTTGAGGTTTTCTGTGGTGTTGTATGCCTGACGCCAGGAGGATTTTTGAGAAAGTTCATTGGAAGTTAGAGGTCTCCCAGAACCCACGTCTGSAATTTCCCATGGYGAAGTTAGCACAGGGGTAGCTGCTTCCCCGSAACAGCCCTGCGTTTTGGAGCGGGGAGAGAAGCTCATGAGAAGTTGGTGGAATGACTGTTAAAGGGAAGGAGGTAGTCTCAGTTATCAGTTTCATCCACAAATCTTGTCCCATGCGGAATGAGAAAAAATACCTAAGAGAACTTGGACAGAAAGCAGCACAGCAGTTCCTCTCCTCTCTCTGCCCTCTGTTTCTATTTCCTTTTTATTCTGGTGTATTTTATAAGTGGTTTCGCTGCTGCCTTTGGTGSAGAAGGAAGTCTGCAGCATCCTAGGGCATCTGGGTGCGAGCCAGAGACCCTTTGGAAAKACCCTTCCATGGGACAAGCCATTAGGACATAATATCAGAAGGTACTGGATGTATTAGYTTCAAAATCTGTGTGCTTTGTAAATGTTCATCTTTGTTTTAGAGTGCTTTTTAGTGGTTTGTCTGCTTGCTGCTTCAGTGGGAAGCAGAGTGCAAGTGTCCAGGGTGGAAGGTCWGTCAAAACAAGAGCCACCTGAGGAGCCCTTGGAAAATACTGCCCCTAGCTTCAATAATATTTTCCTTCTCCTTGGGTTGCAACTGAATTAGCATATACAGCTTTTATTTRTTTGTTAATATTGGATGTTTTCTTAAATCCTCTTACAAATGCAAGCCAGCTATTAGAAGCTCCTTTCTTTCTTCCTCTATCTCCTTTTTATTTATTTAATTTACCTAGCACAGGGGTCCAACACTCCTTGGAGAACCTCCCCGGGCACCTCCAGCTTTATTTGGTATTTAAGAGCAGGAAAGCCAGGTGGTAACGTGCTTGGATTTTGGTCAAAACGGCCGTCGTGAGGGCCAC